TGGGTCAACTTGTTGGAAAGCCCGGCAGAGTAATTTACATACGAAGAAGCGGGATAAGCTCTGAATCGCAGGCCCAGGAAAGTGTGGAGTCGACAGCAAAGATTGTTACGCTTGGTACTTTCGCAGGTTCAGCTCGAGCTGCAACCAAACCTCTGCTTGTACCTGGAGCTTTAGCTGCAGCTGGGCCTGCAGCTGGACGTGTAGCTGGACCTACAGCTGGGCCTGCAGCTGAACCTGCACCTGGGCCTGCATATGGTCAAACTACATTACCTGGGACTTCACAAGGGACAGGGCATGCACCTCCTGTTGAGCATCCTTACTTCCGCTTGCCAACGGTAGAAGCAGCACCTGGCACTGTAAGATTTACGCCCGAAAGAGCTATGCTTCTCCGCTTGGCCCCCCAAATACCAAACACATTATTATGTGAAGCGCACGATCTGCTTATGAAACCCCGTCTTTCAACATTTCAACTCAAGACTTTGGTGTCCACAGTAGAAGAGTTGGTAGCTCACTTATTAGCTTTCCAAAGACATACCCTTCCAGTCGCCCGCCCCTCACGCGCCGTTGCAATGCTGGGGGTTCGCTTCCTGATATTTGATATTGTCGTCTCAACGTTAAATCTCCTAGGGCAACGCGCTGAAGGGGGATGGTGGGAACGTGTAACTGCGACCGTCCCGCACTTGTATGACAACCCATATCTACATGCCCCAGCAAGACACGAGACGCATTTCAACAGGGTACTCATCAGAGCCTTGATGAAGGCGCTGACCACACTAAAAAGGGGGGTGCGGGCGCCAAGAGAGGATACTATACTGGTAAAACGGCTTTTGTTCACTTCACTCAATTCCCCGCCGCGTTTCCGAAGCCAGCAGTTTGATCGTTGGAGAGAAGACCTAAAGAAGCCCTAGGAGAAGGCGCAATACAAAGGAAATATTTGCGGTGTCGACTGCATCGTGGGCGAGCAGTTGTCGGCACGACTTTTATCTGTTAAGGGTGAGGAGCTGCATGTTCGCCGTCAGGTTCACATATTCCAACTGAGACACAGCCTCAGACCGCTCACGCCGCATGCCCCGGGGCGATCATTGCCGCCTCGATATACGCAGGCAGTCAATCCTTCCAAGATTTGTCCCCCATGCGGCTACATGAAGGATAGCTCTGGAAGAGCTTGGCAAAAATAAATTGATTTGAATGCTGCATCCTGCACGCGACCTCAGTCGCAAGCTGCTGCCTAGATGCCCATGCTTCTATTGCATGATTGCGAAGCATGCGAATGGTCAAGGACTGTGGGTTAGTGCATGGAATTGCCATTATCTATCTAGAACTTTACACTTCAACGTTCAGGATTACCACGTATGCGGACTGGACATGCGGGGAAACTGCGCCGGAGTTCTGAGGGATTCCGCATAGAGTCGCGTAAGTGGGTGAAGCGCAGCTTGGCTACTTTTGGCTGAAATCGAAAGTAGCAGTCAACCATTTTTTCATCTACCCTTTCAGGTGCAACAAAGCTGCGCCGCGATGGCGGTTTGCCTCACCTGAGGTAAAGTGCTTCATTCTTCCTCTTCCTGCTCAATCTATTTGCACTTCGTTCTTCAAATACCCTCAATGCAAGAGGCGGAGTTCAAGTTCGCCAACAAGTACTCCGCATGTAAGACAGAATTATCCTGTGAGAAGACAGCGTTAGTCAGGGGTGGCGGCAGCATCAGAAGCAGCAGCCGAATGAAGCAATGAAACCAAATGCTGTCACCAGCCCTCTGGTCTTACAAAATGCCTACTATCGCACAGCCCTAACGCGTTGTAGACACGGGAACATTTGTAGGGGAGCCTTCGAATTGCTGAGGGACTGCGTCGAGACACCGAACGAATTTTCAACGTACTAGCGTGTCAGGGCGCTACGCTCAGAGCTGCGCTACACTCGGAGCTGGCTATGGATTGAATACTTGTTCTGTTTCAAAGGGGTCTGCACCACAAGGCATGTACTGGTCACCACCACAAGTACACGGGCATTCGTCGAGACTGGAAAAGACGAACTTTACAAAGCTCAAGTGTGCGGCTACGGCACGCCTTCCTGGTGTTGACTGGGCCTTGAATGTCGATTTCCGCCGGCCCGAGTTTGCTCTCAGGTTCATTTGTACACAGCTCTGGCAAGGCGTGGCTCTAAAAGGCCCGTTCCCTTTGGGAGCGTATCTAGTTTTTTCTGGTAAACTTCGACCCTTCTCCGAGCTCTGCTAACTATCAATCGGCAGAAGAGCCGTCTCCACATTCAGGCTTGCCGCCTCATCCACCCGTCTACCAACTTCAGCCCTTCCAGCTATTGGCTACGTCGCCTTCCTTGTCTTTCTATGGTCTTTCGTTTCGCTAGGAAAGGGCAAGACTCTAAAGCGGCTTTGCCCTAGCTGCCTGATGAGGACTTAGTTGTGCACTATCTCACTTTCCTCAGTGAAGCTGTCTACAACATCTAGAATGCCGGCAGCTTCATCATCTTGCTATAGCGCGCCGCAGGCAGCAGCATGCTGCTGAGCATGTTGCTGTGGTTGTAATGGGTCCTGGCCATCAGACGAGGACGATAGCGAGCAGCGACCGATTTGCAAAATGCATATGATAACGGTTTCCGAAAAGCAGATGACTTCCTCGCCAGTCTGCAGGTGGCTTGGGCGTGGCGGCGTAAGGGCCTATGCCTGGCGGGGAGTTGAGGTAGACTGCCACGAGCTGCACCACACCTTACTGCAACACTTGCTGCACGCCAATCTCACCTTACATGTAACCATAGCCGACCCTCCCTTCGATGTATGCACTAATACCGCTGACAACTGTTAAACGTTCATTGAGCCCTCAGTAGCCAACCTGCTCGTACGTAGAAGTGCTTGCGCCGACTGAGCACAAAGCTGCAACAACATTTAGTGCCATATGAACTTGATCACGTACAAATCACCCACGAGGGTGGCAGAAGACAAATAAAAGAATCGGAATCTTTTTGCGCCTGTACGATTGCTACGTCCCCAAGCTAAGCCCAACGAGGACGCAGATTTCAGCTATCAGCCCAACTGTGCCTGCTCCAAAACATGGCGAGCGGTGCGTACATTCCGCACTTCTAGTATGATGCCTGCAGTATCTACGCACGCCGAAGATACTTG